GTTCGCTACTCCTTGAATGTTTTGTCTTGGGCGTAGAAAATAAGGCGATCGTCCAAAGCAGCTGGTCTGCCTGGGCTGCAGCCTCGTGCTGGTCCGCTAACGAGCCGTCTCAACTATTATTATTCTCCACTCAAGGATATTTTGACAGTGAAGCTGACTGAGTGAGTCCACAGCTTTGTATGTGTCAATGTGTATTGTCAAAAGAATTAGCTACCATTTTAGTTACCTACTGCTGCATCGTTTTGCTTTGGAGAAAATAATTCTAGTTTAGCCAAACCCATTATCTTGAAGGTTCCATCGGACCTCTCGGCCAAATTTGAAATCACCAGCATAATTATTGTGATGTTGGCCAACCAACACGTTGTGTGCACACCAGGGAGCCATACATACCAGTATCCCCGTCCGTACATACGGACGGTATGTGTAGTGCTCCCTGGTGCACACCAGCACTACCACTAGCAGGCAGTGTTTCAGGACGCTTTCTAGTCACAGTTAGTTGCAATCTTGCAACTAATGGAACCTTTACAGACAAAAAACAATACTTTTCTGTACTACAAGTACACTCGGGTTGCTATATTATAGACCCCATAAGCTAAAAATAGAAATCGTTCAGGGTCTATGATACACAGTACAACATTGTTTCAAAAATAAAATGTGTTCGATTCATCTAAAAGTTTAAAACCTCTGTCAGCTGCACAGCTGCTTCTACAAGAAATGAATCCGTGCAGTACATTCGTGCAGTGCACTCGAGCAGTACAATCGTACAGTACACGCGCATATGGATAGAAGACACAGAGCTCAAGAAACAACAGTGCACTAGATCAAAGTATGAAAACGTCTCGTAGCACGCTACCATGCAGTATATCTGGGGATGAAGGCACAGGCTCCTATTCTTGGCCTTCACAACGCAAGCAGCAGCAAAGCACACGTACTGTTCTGCTTGTCCTGGAGATTGCACGGGCTGCAGTTGTCCAGAGCATTGCAAACAGTAGAACAACACACCATGTTTGAGCGAGTTGGTCACCTTTTTCGTAGGTTAGCCGGAGAATTTCCCCAATCTCCTTGACTGCATCAGAGTTGCGCACACTTTAGAGTTGTGTACTTTCCCATCAAACATGATATCCATGAGACCATGACAGTGAAATATTTCTAGAGGACTACAGCAGAGTACTTCAGCCGAGCCATCTCCCTTCTATATGGGTTTTCTCGCATGGTACAAAGATGAAGTTCAAGCTAAGCTATTTGCATACGGTACTTGTGAAATGCAATTTGAGCACTGCTGGAAAACTTTACATTTATAAATCCTAACCTGGGCATTTGCCCTCCTCCCGACCTGGGCTCTTGCCCTATTCCTGATCTGGACTCCTGCCCTCTTCCTGGCCTGGGTACTTGCCCTCTTCCTGACCTGGGCTCAAGCCCTCTTCCCTGGGCATTTGCCCTCTTGCCGACCTGGTCTCTTGCCCTCTTCCTGACCTGGACTCCTGCCCTCTTCCTGATCTGGGCACTTGCCATCTTCCCGACCTGGGCTCTTGCCCTCTTCCTGACCTGGACTCCTGCTCTCTTCCTGATCTGGGCACTTGCCATCTTCCCGACCTGGGCTCTTGCCCTCTTTCCTGGGCATGTGCCCTCTTCTCGACCTGGGCACTTGCCCTTTGCTCTGACTACCCCCTCCTGCACAACTATCACAGCAACAAGAACAGCTAGACAAATCTCACACATGTCGGCCATTGGCCATCACCAGCGATATTATTGTTATCCTTACTATGCACAAGACTAGCTACACTCCTGTCAGAATCACTGTCCACAGCAGAAACGTCGTCAGTGGTTAGGTCGGTTTCATTTCCAAGCGGCGTCTGCGTGGAATCGTGCTCTTTCGTCATTGTCTCCGCCTGTTCACTGGGATGGTCAAGCTCCTTCTGCGGCACTTCCTCAGCTTCCTGTGCGCTTGAATTACTTGCTGGCGATGACTCAACTTGCCTGCATCAACGCATACAAGCAACCCGCATGACAAATAAAAATCTAAATAAAAATCTGCTCCAAACATCACACAGTTAAATGCCGAATATTCGAATGATACTGCTGACTATCCTCACCAGTTTCTCATCCATCTTGATGATGGCTCCTGGCCAAAAACTTTATTGAGGCTTGTAATTTTGCAGCCAAGAGACCACTTGCATTGGTGTAGAGTTTTCCAGGTTATAGTAGACTATATTCAATCGATATGATTGTATTGCTATAGACTATCCGAACGATCAAATATCCCAAATGAGGTTATGTGCCGATAGTGCATCTTGAAAATCAGGCTTCTATTCAAAACAGGCTTCTATATGAGACAGGCTTCAATACAAGACACTACGGTCTGTACATACCCCAGCGCTGAAGTACATGGAGATGGAGCTGGAAAGAACACCAGGACAGACGGTACTCACATCGGTCAAGAATGAATCATTCTCTCACTGGCTACCGGCTATTGGAAAGCCCAACGTTTCTATCTCGCTGC